AACCCGCCACCTTAGGTGTATGTGGCTGGCGCCTTAGCGGCTTGAGCTACAGGCGCTGAGCTGACTAGATAACTTCTGTGGTCTTACTCTAGCTGGTAAATCATCATGTAGCTCAATGTAAAAGTGCTTTAAAAATATATTAGAAATTATTTTCTCAGCTTTAACTAGACAAGATATGCTTGTCTTGTAGGTAGTCTTAATTATCTTATGAAAGATTTTCTGTAGAAGAAATTTGGGAACAAGTTTCAGAAAACTGTTTTTTGGTTTTTGTTGTTGTTCCCTACTTTTACGTTCTGCTTTGTGTTTTCATGATTTAAAAAATATTTTACTGTAGATATGTTTTATCTTGTTTCCTTTTTGTGGGTAATTTATGTTCTGGCAGTTATCTGTATAATTATAACAGTCTTGTGTTTCTTCCCAGTCACTAATAATGCCTTGTGAGCATGTTTCTTCTAAACCTAGCATATTTCTTCCTCCCTTCATCCACTACCCAATAACAGGTATTATTATTTTAGAGTTTACTCTTACACTGTTAAATATGATTATACTTCTCCTTGACTTGTCAGCTTAGCTTTAACTGATCTGCTTTGACTCCCCGCTATTATACCTTCTTTTCCCTTTCCCTCAATTTTTGGTAGTTGTGTCATTTCTATATTGTGAGAACATACAGTGTTAATATTCTGTCATTCTCACAGTTCTTAGTGGAACAATTTAAATATAGTCTAAACTCACAAACATTTCCAGTGATCTCTTGGTTGGCCCAAATTAATGATTTAGTAGATCCCTCAAGAAAGACTCGTGGAACAATTCCCCTAAATTTTTGTGTGTTTGAATATATTTATCTGTAGCCTTTACACAGTAAAAACAGTTTGGCTAGATATAAAATTCTTAGTTCACATTTTCTTGAAACTATTGAAAATACTGCTATATAGAAGCCTAAAGTCTTGTAACATTTTCCCTAAATTTTGCAACCCAGCATGAAGAGAAAATGTACCAAAGTGGGAATGGTAGGGGATGAAGAATTAAAACACACAAGAGACAAACATCACACAAGAGAGAAGGATGAGATCAGGAGGTCTGGTGCAGCTGATGACTGCAGCCAGCACCCAACCATGTGAACGGCATTATTTATATAGTGTTTATA